TTTTTACTTTAAAACTTTTTAAACTTCTGGCAGTTTTCTTTCAAGATTAAACAGTTTAATTTAAAAGTTTGTCCTTAAAACCTGTTGTTTATGTTAAAGAGAAAAAAATGGTGATATTGTGTTTTGTAACACAGTTGTAAAATACAATATCAAACATTTTTCATTGAATCAAACCGGGATTAATCGATTCTGAACTTAATCAAAATCAAATTGATTCAGAGAATTGGCCATGATACCCAGCCCTGTTCCTAACACTTCTTCCCTCMAACATACAAACTGAAAGGCTTAAATATAATTAATGAAGTTGGTTTTGTTGTTAACATGAAAAGTTTTGAGTTTAACTAATGAAGTTATTAAACCAAAGTTATTAAAGTAGAGCAGCTGATAAGTTTAGTTGATCTCTACTGTTTGAAACCTAAAAAGAGTGTTTCTCTCCTGTGAAGGCCACTATGATTACCACTACAGCTACAAGGCCTWCGATGCAAAAGACGGACCGTGCGGCCAGAAGTATAACAGCTCCGTCACCTACTACTACGACAACATGAGCAGCAACGACCTGTACTCTGTGGATCAGGACCTGCTGAAGGACTACATCAAGAGGCAGATGTAAGTTAGTCTTTTCTGTTGATGGTGAGGACAGGACGATGAACAACGACTGACAGCAGCGCTGCAGATGTGATGAGCTCTTCATGTCTCTTCTCTGAGTGAAAATCAATGGAGAAAGATTCCACACCTCTGATCGCAGCACTGAACTGACACAACGTGATGAAAACAATCACTTCCTAACTTTGTATTTACCTTTATTGAAGGACAGGATGGGATTTTAATGAGACAGTTTGTCATTTTAGAATTTATACGTCTGACAGGAGAAGAATAAGGTGTTAAAGGCTTAAAGTTGTTTGACTTAAAATAAAGAAAAGCAAAAGTTCTTATACGACTTATGAGTCTAAACAAGTGTCAGTATTTCACTGTCCAAAGATATTTGGAATTATTAACCAGGTAAAATAAAATAAGAAATCTTTTAAAAGTTGTTGCAAAGTTCAGAATGTTTCAAACCTTATTTCCCCACCCCCTCTTATTATTATTTCCCCCACACGTTACCTTGAAACATGTTTTCAGCTCAGGTCTGTTGGTTTGTAGACCTTAAAGGGACAGACACTGCAATAGGTTGGCAAAAGTTTCTGCATGTACAGGTCCTTCTCAAAAAATTAGCATATTGTGATAAAGTTCATTGTTTTCTGTAATGTACTGATAAACATTAAAC